TTACAGCGTGTTAGCGCTAATTGTTCTGTTGAAAGCAAATGACATGAAATCATACGTTTACTGAAAGCTTATCATGAAAGTTTAATGAAAAGGACAGTGTGTCTGGATTTGAGGGTCCACATTTGGCTATTGTTATGTGAAATACTTTTAGCCTCTTCAACCGTGGGTCCCTCACTTTCATTATGAAACTGCATTCCAGGTATATCCCCTCAAAATTACTTTCGAGCATCAACGAGGAAAACAAATGAATTTGTGTGAGTATGTGTGTACTACTTCTACCAGCCTATGAAGACAACTTAAGTGACAACTTGACAGTGCGAGCACAGGGAGTGGCTTGTCATTTGCAAGTGTTAACTACTTTGAGTTATCAGCTAATTTTTCTCTCCCTGAATGAAAGTGGATAACATTGCATGGGAAAAGAAAGGAAGCGTATTTGCATGACTGAGATGCATTTCACCCCCTGCTTCGAAGTCCTCCTGTGGACATTTTCATGCTAAATCAGGGGCTAAAAAGTCTAACAGAGAATTAGGGGCAGACAATTGTTGCATAAGGTTTTTTGATGTTGAAAGGGATTCCTTCATGGCAAGGGCGTCTCATGACGGAGAAAGTGCTTACATGCTAGGACTTACTTGAACATCTGTTCCCATTCGCTGGCTCAACCACAGTGGATGAGGTTCACGCAAGAATCATAATTGCACACAGACTTGGGTTACAGACAGGGAGTCAGTGTTTTTTTGTTTTTTTTCACCACAACTGTTCCAACAGAGCTGTGAAAAGAAATGAAAGTCGTGACACAGCATTTTTAATTTAACAACAGAATCATGAAAAAAGCTGCAACCAAAGTGGTTTGAAAATGAAAGCTATGGTTGTTAAAAGTCATAAGCCCTGATTTTTGATATGTTGAGAAGGAAGGCTTCACTAGAGAACTACAGTCAGAACAAGCTCCAAAACTTTTAGCCTGTTATTGTTGTAAAATGTCATGACCTCATTACAACTCTCTCCTCATCTCTCCATAACTAAAAAGCAGAGAATTCAAGAGCTGGAGAGCAGTTAAATAAAAAAGAAAAAAAACTGTTGCTCAGCACGATTCTTGCTGTTTTAGACCAGTGTCACATCAGCAAAATGCAGAGAACCTCAGAGAGCAATATGTCTCTGTGGATTTTCTTTTGTTTATGGAGCTAATCTGTTGTGGATAAAGCTTTTTACTCCAAGACTTTTATCTTTTATGGGGAGCTACATGTACAAAAACAATCTCAAATGGATGGTTAAATAAAGACAGCACAAATGCGCATGTGTGCGCGCACACACACACACACACACACACACACATACACACACACACAACATCGAAGTAGCTTTAATCTTCATCTCTTAGGCCCAAACCTCATCAGTCCTATGTGGACTTCTGTATACTGTCTGCTTAGACAGCAAGGAAAGCCATGCACTGACATCATGAACAATGCAAACACCGTCTCCCTCACGGTTTTATCACTGCTAGATGGAGATAACTCATTGACAGCATACCTCAACTACCTAAAGGAGCTTTATAGAGCAGCTGTCCTGCACAGAGCACCATCGTTGAGACAGATAGAACATAAACTCCCGCCCTGAGGACACATGTCAACCACTTCCTGAGCCCTAAGCTTGTATGTAATTGAGGTGAAATGGCTTGTCTGAAACCAATTGAAGCCATGCAGTGAGGGGGAGCCATTGCAGTCCCTGGGAGAGGATGACAGGGTCACACCTGCAGACAGGGGCCTGTACAGGCAGCCTGCTGATGGCTATCTGAAAGTCTACTAGGGGCAATGAGAGGGAGGTGCACACTGGGGGTGTGAGGGCTATGAAGGCCCTACAGCTGGCAACCTGCCCAGACCCCCACTGATCCATTTACGATGACAATTCATGCAGATCCATGAGCAAAAACACACATCCGTACATGCAGCTCCCTATCACTCTGCTTCAGTACCCCTCTAATAAACAAGCCAATAGGCTAAGGATGCTGACACGCAACACTGACCAGCTAGCATCACCACAGCATGTCGATACCTCATGTGATGTAATGTTACAACACCACTACTGTGGCAGAAGTCTGTCTTTAGCTGCTCAGCATAATTACAGCCCTGATGAATGGTTTGGAAACGACAGGCAATTAGACCTCCAGACAGTATGATACTGAAGAGTACACTTTCTTCCAACATGGGTACTAGAGGTGTAGATCAAAGATCCTCACCAGACAAAAGCACACAATTACAACCCCCACCACTCTGACAGACAGTGAATTCTTGATCATTGTAAACAAAACAGGTGGCATTTACCAAAAACAAAATTGTGCTTCAGCTAAATAAGCTACAGTCACGGTGTGGTATTCATCATAACACTTGAGCTTGAGGATGAGTGGAATAACATAGGCAGATTCTGATTTTCACTTTTCACAAGTGCCCTATTCAGATGATAAACAAATCTATTTAAGAAACAAAGCTCCATGTGGGCCGCATAAACTGCCTGCAGTGTCACAGTCTCTGATTTACAGGATGGCCACACTGTGGAGCGATGCTGCACCAAGACGGAAGCACAGCCAAGGGAGGAGGAGGGAGAGGTGAAGAATAGAGGAAAAAGAAGAGGAAGAAAATATGAGGAAAATGTTTTAGCCATGTGAAATCTCAGTGAGCACTCTTTGTAAACCAAGCCTGTAGTTAGTAATTAACTTGAACTGGAGATAATGTCGTAATTATAGGACCATGCACCACTCCAACTCCCATCAACACTAACACACAAAACTATAACCCGTGGTCTGGGTGCATGTTGGAACATAAGTCTAAAGAGCAGGGAATTTTCTCAGAAATTTCTGACTTTCATAAACTAAGATTGATAGAGAGAGTTAGACTGCTTTTGCAAACTTAGCAGCTGATAAAAAAAGATTAGTGGATGAACAGTGAAAACATGAACTTTCAAAATAAAAAATTGCATCACCACAAAACTTCTGCAGTTGGTCCAGATTTCAGTCCCCCTGTAAGATGGATCAGTTTTTGGCCTGCCTTTGTATCTACTATTTCCATACCAGCTCATTTGAGAGCAGACTTGTTTACAGCATGTCTCTTATGATGCTTTCCAGTAGGGGAGTAACCAGGCCGATGACCTCCAAGCGGTTTCAGCCCATGAATGGAAAAGCCAGGATAAAAAGAAAAAGACTTTTTCATTCCTCTGAGTCCGAGCAGGATTTTAAATAACCTTCAAAGTCATTCTCCTCCAAAACTCTCCTGTCTCCATCTCCGCTGGCTCAGGCCCATTCATTCTGTAGCTTTATCTGTGGCCCTCCATTCCAAACACTACTCACATTTTAATGGGTGGATCAACTAAACGACTGTGGATAAAATCACAGTCTGGCTGCCTTTCATTGTGATACTTAAAAGGCGCCTTGCCTTTGACTGTGCTTTTTAAGGCTGCAAACACATAGTGATGTGCAGAGAAAAAGTGCATTAATTTCAGTAACAGATATTTATTGTGACTGCTTCAGAAACTTGCATGAATAGAGAAATGCTTTAACTAAAGGTAAAGCGACAAGCAGAGTAGAGCCCATGGGAAGCGGGTAATTGAGCAGAACATATCTTGATGTTCTGGTGAAACACCGCTCTCCATCTCTCCATGCAGAAGATGAATCACACCATTGTCTGTGTCACAAAATTACATAAGTGCTATGGAAAATTCACTCAGTTCAATTGCCTAGTAGAAAGAGGGCAGAAATTGAATGGCCGCAGCTTGCTTGAGTGAATTATGTGGGTCACACTTGCATAAAATTGCACATGTTCTGTGATTGCTGTCAATTACAAAACTACAATTTATCATTTTCTTCCCTTCTGAAAAATCCTTAAGCAACAGATTTTAGCTAAATTTATTTAACACCGTATAAATAAAGTGTTAAACTGTTAGCAGTAAATTGTCACAGTAAAATCTGTGTAAATCAATAAACATGGAAGACTGACAGAGGGAGCAGATGAGAGACTTTTTTTTTCTGTTCAGGCTCACCTTTGTATTTCAGATCTGACTCAGAAATTGTTTGGCAGCTCATCCTCAAACCGAATCATCATCAATCAAACCTGGACACTTGATATAGCAGAAATCTGTGCATGGAAGAGATCACTTGACCTGTTTGTGGGAGGGTAATCCAACTAATTTTAACTTTCTCCATTTCTCCACCTACAGTTCATATTTTTTGTGCCTGTGACCACAGCCTCAGTAATGCAACACATTCCCCTCAGCTATCTCACAGATTTATAATCCATAATCCTATGCGTAAATACTTAATTGTGTTTTCACCCACAAAAAACAAGTCCCTTAATTCTGGGTGTCAGCTGCTTGTCTCTGCGTGCCAGACTATTGTGAGAATGCTTGCGGCATGACAGATGTAAGGTGTGGCACATGCAGACAGTAAAATCACCATTAGCGCCTGCATATAAACAGAGGGGAGGCTTTTACCAGGGAGAGTTTATGGATGGAATGGCGGGATGGGGAGGCTGACAGATGTGAGCGGCTGGGACAAGACTCTTAGGGACTGCACAGATCCCGCAAGAGTCCAGACAAGAGCAGACACATCCCTGAACATTCAGACTAAACATGGCCACATAATTAGAGCTATAATTCAGCAGAGCAGCCAGAGCGCACACTGCAAAGCTGTGTCCCTCGTAGACAGGGCATAACCTATCTTCGTATTCAGCCCTAAATTAAACAGTCTGAACATTGTGCTGTTGTCTCTTCAAAGCCATTTAGAGGTAGTGAATTGTATTTCAACATCATATAAAACAACATTGTGACGACATGAGGTATTAAAAAAAAAACAAAAAAAAAAAACACTCGGTTTAAAAAGGTTGCAAAATAGCAAACTCAAAAAACAACGCTGAGTAAAACATTGCTCTGAACTGACAGCTTGGAGAGAACATGAGAGCTGAGGACACAAGTCTGCTGAGCGACTGATTTAATAGCTACTTTCATGTAGGCATACTTACAGATATCTGGTGATTCGTCTGAGCCATCTGGACAGTCCTTCTCTCCGTCACAGCGCCAGCCTTTGGAGATACAGGTCACTTGGTCCTTACATACAAACTGCTTAGAGCTGCAGGTCTTGGGATGGTCGTCAGTTTTGGGAGCTGAAAAAAAAAAAAAAAAAAAAAAAGCCAAGGAGAGTTGATGTGTCATCATGAAAAGCAACTGTGGGTGGAAATGCTTTTAATTCTCAAATACATGTAGAAAGAAATGCAACTCACAAGCAGCCAGTCTAAGAAATACCAGCATGAATGTGAATGATTCTTAAATCTGTTCCTTCTTAATTCTGTTCCTTTTTTTTAAGAACCATTCTTTCCTGTGCAGTATCTACATAGGAAATTTCCAGCTTCAAGTAGCAGAGATCTTAACTCGGCAGGGCAAAGCAACATGCAGGGTCAACTTAAGTTTACAATGATGTTTTTGTATCAAAAGACCCACAGGCACACTCTAAAACCTCCTCTACAAGTTTACAACCAACAGTGGTGCCTTTTAGCTCTGGGTTTGTTTGTTGTTTCCCCTCTTCTTACGAACATCTCATTTCTTTCTGACTTATTTTTTTTTATTTTTTTTTTATTACTCTTAAGGTGTTTTTCAACTCTCACCACAGAGGCTCTTTCATGTGTCACGGCACAGACATAACTGGGCATTCAATCTCCGTCTGACCCATGGGAAAGTGCAGAGCGCTGTAATTCTGGGCAGTAAGTCAGCACAGATTGTTGAGGTGTACCACAGGCTAGCAGCACCGCAGCAACGCTCACGACCCATCAGCAGTGTGACACTGCTGACATGCTTTAACTCAGCCACACTCAGAAAAGCCCTGCTCAAATGGAGCTCTACCTACACGGCTTTGCATCAGTCTGTCAACACTGAACTTGTCACTTGTGTAAACATTTATCCTTAAGGGTCGGTTGATCCAAATAACAAAAGAGAAACATATTTTCTTGCTTACCTCATGTGGTATCCAGCTGTGGAGATAGTTTTGGTTTTATATGCCCAGGTTTTGAGACATCTGTCTCTGAGATCACTACCTTCACCTCAGTAAATTGAACTGTGCTGCTAACAACAAAATTATTTCCTTGTCAGTTTTTAAGGGGACTATTCTGTTTCAGTAGAAAGTACTTCTAATGAAAATTGAGCATAGTGAGGGCTTTGGATTACTGAGTGACAGCAGCATTGTTTCCCGGAAAGACACATTCCTGTTTAATTTTTTAGGAGGTTTAAATGGTTCAAGGGCCATGAATGCAATTCTATTCACCTATTGGGGTATGGCAGAAATCTCAGATGGATATTTCAAAAACTGGATGAATAAAACCAGAACTCCCCACATGGCTACACATCAATAGGAGAGAATAGGAAAATTTTTTTTTTTTTTTTTAATTTGGTTGAACTGACCCTTTAAATGAAACAAAACGTTAAAAAACTTAGACTATATGCAACAATTTATAAAGTCAGAGTATATTTCCGACTCATTAATGACATAATCCATAACTAAACTAGCCTTGTCAAACTTGAATACAAATTTAAACAGAAAGCCTGAGTTCCCTAGTAACATTTTCTCCCATTTTACAGAAAATGGAAATGAAAATAGGTTTCCAAATATATACAAGGGAAATGCTTCCTTGTATGCTAGTGGTCAAAAATATAACATGCAATGAAAAAAAGACCACAATGGCCACACCAGGCAGTAGGCTGTTGTTACTGTATTGTTGTGCAGCAATGCCCTGGGAAGGACAGTGCCGAAGGTCTCATTGTGATTCTCTGCAGGGACGTAGCCCTCTCTCGCCCTGGATGACTTGCCTCCCTACGTACTTGGCAGGCAGAGAGGTGTTTGGGGCGGGCAGTCGGGGGTGTGTGGGGGTGCACCGCAAGGGGGCTGGGATGTGACTGAAATCACAAGAGAGCATGAGGCTAGTGTATCATTGCAATCACGTTCCTTTTGACTGTCAGACTAAGGGTTTTAGAGCCTGGTCTTTTTTTCATGTGACAGTGAAGTGTATGTGTAAGTCAAACACTAAGATGTCTGAGTGTCATGTTTTTGTAAATACAATTAGAATCTAAAGGGCTACAGGGATCGGTTCACAGCTTTCTCATTATATGAACAAAACCTTGATATTTGAGGAGATTAAGAGAAAGAGGGAACACTGGGTTTTAAAATGCAGAGCTATAGACCCGTTCTTCTCTTCACACAATGGCAGAGGCAAGGCTTACAAAACAAAATTCATGTGATGCAAGAGAGTGAGATGCCATAATACAGAGTCCATATTAAATGTCATAAGGCTGAAATGAGACCAAGAAACAGAGCTGTAAATGAACAGACAGAAACCAATGACTGAATAACTTTAGACAACATGCACACACCCCACCCCTTGGTAGAGGAATGAGAGGGAGGCTAGCCATGGCCTGAGGCCAGTTTGTTAGTTTTGCTTCCTTTCAGCTTACCAATGTCCTGGTACATTTAGTATGGTGGTAAATACACCGGATTTGCCTGTGCTTATATGTTGCCATTTAATCTGCCTAAACAATCAAACAAACAGCTGCACTGCCTGGGCCCTGAGCTGAAACGAGTAAATGCAATGAAACCTTGCTATGTGAAGGCATTCCCTCGGTCTCTCTGGTCCCTGTGTGAAGCAGCTGGGCTGAGCCAGTTGTTCCCCGTGAGTGGGCATAAAACTGGAAATAAAACATTGTGGGTTCTAATTTTATCATCGTTTTACACACCAGCATGAAATGACCACAGAGGGGAGAACCTCTGAGCCTAATTGGAGGTTGTGGCTGAGGAGGGGTTAGAAACTGGGGGAAATACTGGCAGCCTTCCCCCTCAGCAGTCCTCTTTCAAAGCCCACTTAAAATATCTCAAACAGAGATGCGAATTGTTAATTCAGCCTGCAAAGTCGCTTTTTTTCCCAAAGTTACTGCCAAAATGCTGACAATTTTTGGAGGGGCCAAATCAGGCTTGGATGTTGAACCATTTGAGTCCACTTTGCCTACAAAAGGGAATGAAGAAGGCCTTTATTTTGTGTCCTGGGATTGGACCAACAGCAAACACCAATCCCATTGAATCAAGGTACATACTCCACTTACAGGAACTCCTTTAAGCCCTTGGTGTTTGCCTCCCAACAGAGTTCCCTCCTGATAATGCCATCCTAACTAAAGTATTTCCTGCCACAGCTGAATGGCAACTCGATCACACTGCTGCGACTAAATGGTCGGAAATCCCACGGCATTAAAATATTCTAACCACAAAACAAGGGGATTATCACATTTTCAACAAATTATAACTTCATCTTCTGTTGCTTATGATTCTTAAAAGTAAGATAAACACAAAAAACCTCTATCCTTTTTTTTTTAAACAGATAACCTGATAAAAAACAACTATCCTATGGGTATCTATTAGAGCAAAAATACATCTAATTAGAGGGTAAACCGAGAAAACTAGCTCTCACAGCCTTAGTTGAAATCCACAAGGGTTTTGAATTTCACACCATTGCGAACTTTGGAACGTCTACAGGAAACGGAGATTCTATTTCTGAAGAGAAATTATACCATGTACAAATATCTTTATTTGGTGGGTTTAGAAAAAATAGAAAATTGAGCATGTTTTTAAAACATCCGCCTTCCACAAAAACCAAAATGCCTATCTCTGTCACTCTGATGTACTTACAATGTGTTTCACTGTGTTTTATTAAAAATATCTTAGTGGTAAAGTGTTACAGTAAATGAATTAAACATGAATACTGGGAAAATCCTTGAGGCAACTGTAAGAAGACTTCGAATTATACAATAACAATCAGGGGGGTCAACTTTTTATCTGGGATAAAAGGGATCCCACTGCAGTGCCTCAGTGAACTTAAGTCTTTCAGTCCTTAGTTATCTTGTTTGATTAACTAAAGTTGTCAAATAAATATAGTGAAGTGGAAAGTACAATATTTCCCTCTGAACAATAAAATGGAAATCCTAAAGTAAAGTACAGGTGATTTGAGTAAATGTACTTAATTACTTCGCTTTCGTCGCAAGTTTTTTTTTGTTTTGTTTTGGTTTTTTTGGTTTTTTAAATATAAATGGTATTCAATTACCAAACCAGGTAAAATACCTGAATTCATGAGTGAAAACAAAGGGTGTGTGTTTTACAGAAGCTAATATCAAAAAGGTAAAGGACTAACTAAACCACCATATACACACAAAGTCTATTAACATGAAATAATAAACTCTATATTGATGTCAAATCTCTACAACAACTAATCTCACTGCTCATGACTGAGCACCAGTGTTTGCTAAAATGAGATAATATATGACATTTTATACGGGTAATGAAATGACAAGCTTACACTAGAAATGAAATGTTGCGCTATCAGCTAGCTAACATTAGAAATTAGCTATCGTTAGCGTCCATCCGTAGATACTCGATACAAACTAATTAAAAAAACTATGACGGTAATAAACTAAAGTGTATTAAACATTAGAGATTACAAGGCTAGCCACTGATGGAGTGAAGCAAGCAGAGACACGTTCAGCTAACGTTAAGGTTAAGAAATGGTACAGTCCACTTTAGGGGTGTCTAAAACGTATTACAAGATTCTTCTAGGTATGAATATGGGAAATATATTGTAATCACAATTACATGTAAGAAGGTTATATACATGTTTCAATCCCCCTGAACTGTTGTTTTTACCTCTATTGAACGGTCCAAGTCTTAATCAGGGGGTCATACGCCCCCCACACCCCCTAATTCGAACCCAGACTGTAAGCCCAAAAATGCCTGAGGGCCAGTACTCTGGAAGAAAATATCCTGAGTATTGTGTCCAATAGACACAGGATTAATGTTTCTCCAATTATTTAATTCTCTACACTCAACTAACCACTAAGCTCTTACTTGGAAGAGGATAAATTCTAGGACGCTAAATTGGGATGTTTGTGGTCAAAATTAGAAGTCATTGAATGTAGTTCTACTTTCTCTCCACATTATCTCGTTGTGGTGTGAAATCTGGCAGTTGTACTGACTGACTTTTCCTCTGGTTATTAAGTGCTCAAACGTAGTTCGACATGAAGTGCGCTCCAGAAATCTGAGACATATAATACATTTTTTAATTGCTATTATTCAACAAGT